TATGTCAAGGCTCAGAGGTTGGCGGTGCCCCATGTAGACGGGGTTCCTTCGGCTTCTTCGGCCTGGTGGAATAATGTCAAAATTAACACCATTCAGTTCAAAAATTCTCACCTCCCATTCTATAAAGAGTTTCATATCGATTATTAGGCCATCTGCTCTAAGCCAGTTTTGACCATTGTGAAAATGAAGGACATCCTTCTGTTTAGGGCCCTCATGTTGCAGGAAGGCGAGCAGGAAAGGCGTGACAAGGTGGTAAGAGAGCTAGAGGTGAAACTCAAAAAGTAGATGGATGCCTACAACGAAAGTGAAATGTTGTTGTAGTCTCTCTAACATGATGAGAACAAATGGGAGAAAAAGGTTGGCGGATGTTCAGGCAAAGGCGAAAGAGGTCTATGTTGAGAATTACTCATTGCCAAATCCTTTAATGTTACTCTCTTTCGCTAGAATTACTTGAAGAAGTATGTGTCAGGGCTAACTGTCATTGTTGTGCTTGCTTTCGGCGTATACTTTAAGCGTGCTAAGGATTATGTTCTATTCCTCTATCCCGATTTGGATTTAAGTCTCATGGACTTTTTCAAAGTCGTGTGTGATGGTGCGTTGGTGGACGAGAAGACAATGGTCTCTCTAAGGAACTGTGCTCCCATCAAGGAGACTCTTGGACAAGATGGGAAAATGGAAGGCAAGTTTGAAATCCCTTGGTCAGGGAATGCTGTTGAGGAGGTGGTGACCCAGGAGGAGGAGTAATAAATTAATTTACCTCTTGGCCCTAGTGGCCCTTGTATTTGTGTTCCCCTTATGGGTTTTTTATTTGTATTCTTATGCCCATTCTAAGGCTTTTGTAATCCTTGTGAAAAGGAACGCCTTTTATATTAACAATTTGTATCGCTACCTTCTTATTTTTAAACTTTGTCCAAAGGAGTTTTTGATTGGGCTGTTAGGATACCATTTTAAGGAACTAGCAAACAATTTCCTCGTGGAGGAAATGATCCAATGATTGATTGCCTCCTTAGGTGAAAAGGATCTCACTTAAGGATCCAATAATTGATCACCTCATTAGGTGGCAAGGATCCCACTTAAGGATCCAACAATTGATCTCCTTATTGGACAACAAGGATCCCACTTACGGATCCAGTAATTTGATTGCATCATTAGGTGACAAGGAACCCACTTAAGGATCCATCAATTTGATCGGCTCATTAGGAGGCAAGGATCTCATGTAAGGATCTAACAATTTGATCGCCTTATTGAGCGAAAAAGGTCACTCTTAAGGATGCATCAATTTATAACCTTATTGGGAAACAAGGATCCCACTCAAGGATCCAACTATTTAATCACCTCATTGGGCGGAAAATGTCTCACTTAAGGATCCAGTGATTTGATCACCTCATTAGGCGGGAAATCTTTTAATGCATTCTTTAGTTTCCTGCAAGGAAATGGATAACCAAACAAGTGTACTTTAACATAATGGAGAGTGAGGTTCCTTTTTGAAAACCCTCACCCCTTTTAAGAGAAAATAGGGAAAATAATGCACCATATAAAGTAACTTGTTCTTAACAATCGGCAAAGATACAATACTCACCCATAAAATTAAAATAATCAAACAATATTAAAGAAAAACTAATAATAACAATGTTGACATCTTCAGGGAGGTATATCTCCTGGATCTTTAGCCCTTAGTCCCCTCAGAGGTCTAAGAGGAGGTTTCATCGCCTTTCTAAAATTCCTTCAGGGGAATTATTCATAAGCTCATATTTCTGGCCTTTCTGCCCAAAGTGTGAATTCTCTTCAACCTGAGGCTTTCTGCGTAACCTTTCCTGGAAATGTCCTGATCTTCTTGGATAACCCCTACCATCCCATTGAGGATAATGTATTTCATACACAAATATAGAGTAAATAAGGTGGTGCCCAATCGGTTAAAGGTTGGTTCCCCTATAATCATATTATACAAAGAGGGAGAATCGATAACTAGATACCTAACCTTTATTTCCTTAGCTTGATCTTCCATTCCAAAGGTGATTCTCAAGGTAATGTATCCTTTTACATGTATGTGTTCTCTTGAGAATCCCAATAGTGTCCCTTTAAAGAGCTTTTAGTCTCCAGGATCGATACAAAGTCTTTCAAATGCTGCCCAATACAATATATCTACAGAGGTCCCTGGTTGACGAGAACCTTTTAATCTCCTAATCTCACACTTGATGACAATGACCATGGGATTATCATTATGAAGATGGATTCCAACTGCATCTTTCTTTGAGAAGGCAATAAATACTTCATATGCTTGGAGCTCTCTTTCAATCTTGATTTTAGGGTGGTTTTCCACGTCCAGGATCTGGAGAGCGTTCCTTTTTCTAGCGTAGCTAGTTTCCTTGTCCCCCAACGAACCCTTATGATATAGTGTTGAGCGTGTGGCGTGTGGCTTTGATGTCCTCGCCCTATTGCGACTATTTAGATTTGTTGGGCCTGGGACTCCCAACATGGTCTCTCCCATTCCAGCCAAATTTTTATGACGAATGGGAGGAGTCACCCATCACATATTTTTTGAGGTGGCCCTCTTGTATCAGTTTCTCTATTTCCTTCTTTAGATGGTAGCAGTCACCAATGTGATGTACCTTTACATTGTGGAACTTACACCACCTTCCTGGTTCAGAACCCATCACGTCAGCCTTAGGGACATGCGGTGTAGGGATGTTGTGCAAGCGGGGTACCTCATGCCATATTTGCTCACGGAGAGTATTCAAAGGTGTGAAGTTCTATATTGTTTTATGTACCCTTTTAAACGCTAATTTTTCCTTAGGGAGAGGTATAGTTATTCTTCCGATAATGATGCAATCTTTAGGCGTTGGGAACACACTTTTTTATGCCACATGACTTCTTTTTGGCTTTGCTTTCCTCACCCTTTATGTAGCACTCAGCTCAGCTAACCACTTCGGCCAACGTCAATGCTAACTTTTGGGCAAGGGATTTGTTGAAGCGTCTCGCCTTAAGTTCATTTTGAAATTACCCTACAAACATTTCTTGGTTTGGTGGGACGATCCTGATGGTGGCTTCGTTGAAGCGGACGAGATAGTCCCTCTGTGATTTTGACGGGCCCTGGCGTATATTAAACAAACTGATGGTGGACATTTTCCTGTGGCGGTTGGAGGCAAAATGGTGCACCGACATTTTTACAAGTTCATGGTAATTATTGATAGAGGCACAACATAAATCCATATACCATCTGCGGGCGACCTCTATGAAGGTATCAGATAACAACTTGCATTTCAAAGAGTCGAGAGCTCTGGTGATGGCCATCTAGGTATTGATGGAGGCAATATGTCCATAGGGATCGATGTGCCAATCAAACTTGGCCAAGGAAGGGGGTTTGAAACTCTCAGGGATAGACGATCCTTATATCTCATCTAGAGTGGTCGGGGTCCAACAATTTCATTTCCTCTGCGAGTTTGGAACTTGTTGGCGATGTTTGATGTTGTGAACGTCATCTTCCAACATCTGGTTATGGCGGCGTAATTCCTCCAGGACGGTGTGCATCTTCACCAAGGGGTCGGGATCACCGCTACCGCCGGTTCCTTCTGGCTTAGGGGATTGAGATATCCTATTGGCCACAATTGAAGGTGGCTAAATGCAAAAGTGAACCATATAAATGGGAAAAGTGATGGTAACAGAAGATGGTGTGGCCCAGGTCAGTTTTATCGGGACCCCACGGTGGGCACCATAATGTTGGTCAAAAAGTACATGTGTGCATGTTCTCTTTGTAGAGGACAGGGAGACCCAGATGCCTTAGTAGGTTTATAACATGTTTTGGTGGTGGGGGCTTTCCTGCGGCGGTGAGAAGTATTGTATGGTAGTGTTTTAAGGTGATTTAGGAGATCAACTCACGGGAGGCGAGAGGCCTTACTGATGATAGGTGCAACTTGGTAACAAATGTATGATCTTCGATGATGGTGTGCTAAGATAGTAGTGAACCTTGTGCTCTTAAGGGTGTTAGGAATGCGTATCCCTTGGGGTATGTCCTTTCTCCATATGGAGAGGTTTCCATGACCTAGAGTTTGAGCCACCCTTGGTGGCTTTGACTACTCTCTCCATTTTTGGGGGAGTTATTGACTGCCTATATTTCAGGAGCTAGCAAGACTCCTTTCTTAACTCACACAGATCTAGAGTAATCACAAATATAACAATACACTTCTCATACTTTCGCCACCGGTTCTAAATCCATGTTAGCCCAAAAATGAATTTTTTCCTTAGGCCACATGAGAATATGTTGTTTATTTGAAGAAAAAAATGACCGAACCTTTTGAGTATTAATCTTATTACATGTTCATATACTGTTGTGGGAAAGGATCCTCCCTCGATTATATATTTGTGTGCATCTTGGTATTAGGTTATGAAATGGGATTTTCCTTTTATGCATATTTCAGATTTCCGACTTCTTCAATTTTGGTGGTTTTAAGACAGAAGAATACAAGGGGGGCAAATGATCCAAAAATAAAACTAGAAATCTCTTGCAAGAAAATAAATAAGAGAGTATCCTTTCATCTTCTTTATGATCAGATAAAACAATTCAATAAAACATGTTAGAATTTTTAAACCTAATCATTTTTAACAAATAATTTATTTTCACTGTTTGATTTTATATTATTTTTAAATAACATTTGTTTCGCACTGCAATTTTATAAAACCATTTCTTTAACGAAATTAATTTAAAAAACCAATTCCAAAACCGTTTACCTAGCCATTTGTCATTTGGTACAGTTAACAATTCTAGTTCCCTTCAAATACGAAATTTTCACATTAAAAACAAAATAGATAACATAAAATAAAGGAAAGGAAATAAGAGAAGATGAAAGGAATAAAATGTATCACTCATTAAAATATTAAATAAATTACAAAATTAATCAAATGAATAAGTCATCACACAGATCAAATCAAAGCCAAAAGAAAAATTAAAAAGTTCACGATCCATTAATATTCGTGATTAACAAAATAGATCAAATTAAATTTCTCTACATCATGAAAGCAGCAGCGAAAATCACAACAGCAGCAGATCCGGCGATGGTGAATCTGTTCAAACCAGCACCATTATCGGAAGGTGATTGTGCTTCAGATGGAGAATTAGAGATCGCTGATGGAGTAACGGCAGGAGCGGCAGAGGGAGTAGCAGGGGAAGGGGAAGAAGGAGATGGTGGAGAGCTGACGGTGGTTGGGGAAGGAGATGGGGCGTTCTTCACGGGTGCGGGAGGAGATGCCACCGGTGAGTTAGCGGAAGGAGAAACCGCTGGAGACGGAGACTGAGAAGACTTAGGAGGAGTGGCAACTGGAGATCTGGTCGGAGATGATGATGGAGATTGAGCAATGGTGGAACTCACCAACAATGTAGCAACTAGCATCAAAGCAACGGTGTAGGAAGCCATAGTTGAAAGATTAAGAAAAGAGATTCGAAAAATTCAACAGTGAAGGGAATTGAAAGATAGAATATTTGAGAATTTGAGAGTGTGAAGAGGGGTTAGGGTTGGAAGGGTATTTATAGAATGTAACCGCGTGATGACGCGTTTCTAAGATGAGTCGTTATGAGCCGTTTGATATCTTTTTTTCAAAGATTAATATCTCGTGTATATTTTTTGGAAACAATAATTCGCAATTCTTATATATCTAGAAAAAATATTCCGTTACAGACGGAAAATATGAAATAAAATATATTGGTCTATTATTTGTTTTTTTAATTATTATTTGCTTATCTATTTTCATTATTTTTTTCTAGGTAAATAATAATTTAATTTAATTTCCCCTTTTGGAAAGTTAGAATTAAACTTGTTAACATTTTTCTAAAGAATATTTATAAAATTTGTAAGCTTTATAAACTAATTCCTTTTTAAAAAAAGTTTAAAAATAGTAATATCCATCAAATATTTTTTGTTTCAGCAAACCAGCCTGTGATAAATAAAATAAATTTGAAATTAATGCTATTTATAGCTATTAAAATTTATTTAATATATAATGTCAGTTTAAAACTATTATTCGCACAATCAAATCATATATTTTATGGGGTTAATTATGGTATGAACGATGAATATAAAAGGATTTTAGTTGGCAAAGAATAAAATTTGATACTCGCATAATTTATTTCAATTTATTGTAATATTTAAAAAAGTTGGTATTATAAAAAATGATTAAAGTCAAAATAAAAAGGGAAAGAAAAAGATACGTTGAGTTGGCGTGAAGAGGCAGCACGCGGCAGAGGGAGTAGTCCAAGCTGGTACAGCTGTCTTTTGAATAACAACAGCGTTGTTGAATGTTTGTTAATCTTAGTTAGGAAAAGTCGTAACGGTCGGAAAAACATATCGAAAGTGTATACTTTTCCAAAATGGGGACATAAACACTGTTACCAGCTAGCACGAAAATGGACAGCAACTACTTTTTATTTTTTATTCCTTAAGAAAAAATTGTTTTAAAATTATTCTTGTACAAGAAAAATACATCCAAATGATTTTTTTTTTGGTAAGAATGATATTTTTAGACTAATCGCTTTAACTTTTTTTTTCTGAACGTTAAAATGCTTATTGTGAATGCTTGACATTTTAATTTAAGCCGTTACAGTGATTATTTATTCATACCTTTATATTTACCTACCTTCACACACACATGCACTTTTTTTTTTTAAACATTTTTTTCTATATTAAAAGTAAAATCATCATATAATGGCCTCGCTATATGTTTTCTCTCGTAGAATACGATTGGCTGCAGCAATTACTACCTTCTTTTAATTCAAATATAGCTACTGTGGTTGCTAAGGTTATTTTAGTGAAGACAAATCAATTTCACAAATGCTAAATATTACGAAATCAACTTTGCCAAAACTTGCACGATTGTGTTCTAGAAATACTGAATGTTATGAAATCAACATCGTCGAAACTTGCACGATTGTGTTTTACAAATACTGAATGTTACGAAATTAGCTTCGTCGAAACTTACACGACCGTGTTTTTTTCTTTTTCAGTTTTTTATTATTAATTTTAGATTTAGGCAAATGGGTTGCGTGGTTTGTGACATAAATCATTCTTACACTATAGTATTTCTCCAATAAAATCAATTTTTTTTAATAAGTGTAAAAAAAAAATATAGTTGTCTATAAATTAAAGTGGACGATTTTTGATTTTATTTATTATTTTAGATAAGGTTAAAGTTGAATCTATATAAGATTAAGTCCCCTAGTTTCTTAGAGATAAATGCATCATATATAATCGTGTGGTTCGTGACATAAATCATTCATACACTATAACACTCCTCTAATAAAATCATTTTTTAAATAAGTGTAAAAAAGAATATAGTTGCCTATAAATTAAAGTAGACGATTTTTGGTTTTATTTATTATTTTAGATAAAGTTAAAGTTCAATTCATATAAAGTTGAGTCTCCTTTTTTAAGAGTTAAGTGCATCATAGAAACCTAAAAGACGATTAAATTTAAAAATTAAAAAGATCTCTCAACACCAATTTCAGAAAAGACTCTAATTCATGTTATAAAGTCTAACTATTAATTCAGATTTATGTACACATTCTTATAAACCCCTAAAACCTTACATGCATGGTCTATATTGATTTGATCATCAAATTGTTTATAGACACACTTTCGAGAGTTGCACATCAACGATCGTCAACAAAAATCTCATCAATGTTCAATTGTATCAAAGTGTTAGAAATCGGGTTGTCTACGTATGTGTAAAAAGACCTAGATATGTTAGTGTTTGCAGGTATTTTTAGCAAACAATCACGAGTTTAAAAATCTTTGAGATTAACTCAAAAAGTTTCAGGAATATCTTTGTGCAAAAAGTTTATAAAAAAATATGTGTATGATGTGATTGTGAATGTTTGGGCGTAGACAATGTAAAAATAAATTTTAAAAACAATAAAATTTGTATTGCAGTAAAAGAAATTAAAAATAAATAACATATATTTAATGCAGTAAATGACAAAAGAAAATAGTATTTAAATTAAAGAAACATAAAAATTTAAAAAAAACAATGAAAATGAAATTCAATTTTATTTTGTTTTTTGACCAAATTATTTTGTTTTTATAAAAAATGATTCAATATGATTCATTTTATATATTTTTTTTAACATATCATATACCTAAGAAAAAATCATATATGATATATTGACATGATAAAAAAAATTGACTTAACCCTTTTTAATAAAAATGTAATGTAATTTATATTTTATTTTAAATTTAATAAATAACAAGAAATATTTCTTTAATTTTTAAATCAAATTATATTAAAATAATTGATATATTATTAATTTAAAATTTAAAAAATTTATATAATAATAAATTACTTATCAAACAAATTTATTTATTTATGTATTTTAAAAAATATATGTAATATATTGATTTTTTATTTAAAATAACTCATTTATTCAATTTAAATACTAAAATAACATGTTTTTCAATTTATTTCCCAAAGCGACGTAGTTTCAGAAGAGCAAAACATGCCGGCGTCATTTCAGTTGGAGTACATGTACTAACTCAAAGCTCATGCGCCATTTGATTTGGAGCATACACATAGGTGTAGCCAAATCAAATGACGCCTACACCTCATTGCCGTAATTTGGAGTGCATGCGCCATATGAAATGGCGCATCCTCCCTAAATTAATTTTTTTTTGTTTTATTAGAAAAACGAATTGAAAATAGGTTAAAAATTGAAAATAAAAATAAAAAAAAAATAAGAAACAATTAAAAATATTATTAAAATACATTAAAGTTTACAAGAAATAAAAAAAAACCAATGTTTGGCCCGATCAAAACATCCACCGGTTCCACATCCCGGCGCATTAGCATGCCTCCGAGCTCTACCACAATTTTGTTGAGGTGTTTGTGGTCTTTGCGTATTGGCTTGTGGAAAAGGTATTTGTTGTGAGGGTCCCGGCGTATTTGACAAATTTTCAATCATCTGTCTCCAATTGTCGGGGTTGCTGCTGACGGCACTTCCGTAATTCAGTTCCATGCCCATTTTTTTTGAAGTTGAGACACAATGATTGGGTTAGGTGCGGACGGTATGGTTGACCGAATTGGTACATTGAATTATTTTGTAAACGATGCAACGGTTGCTATGAGGGAAGGTAGTCAAATAGTGGTTGGATTTTTTTAGTGGTAGGATGTATGTGTGTTCATTTGTGGGGGACTATGGTGGGTTGTGGTGGAGTTAAATGAGTCATCGGTGCTATAGGCAGATGTGGCGTTGGTGTGTGGATGTTGGCGGTAAGGGTCAGACTCTTGTTGTTGTGATTGGGTGGATGGCATGAATGTGTTGCGGGTTTGAAAGTTTGATTGGGTGGGTAGATATTGTTGTTGGGTGAGGTGCAAGGTTAGTTGTTTGACAGGTGTTTGTTGTTGTGTGTATGAGGACGAAACACGTTGGCACGGATCTATCAAATATGTTGGCTCAGACACAAATTGTTGTGTTGTAACCGACCTGAACTAAATCATGTATTGATGACTTGGTCTAGCCCTTACTACGACAGGGTCATTTAAGATGTGGCGACGTTGATTCTTTCATTGTCGACACAACTCTTTATCAAAGTCTCTCCATTCTCGCAACCCCATTGTGCATCTACTCTCAATTGATGTCAATCTCCCAAACACGTCAGATCGACTGAAATATCTTATTGCATATTGAACTGCAGTTTCAATCGATCACTTTGGTGCATCTCCACTGTAATAAACTGAATGATTGGTGTTTTTGCTATCTAGACTGCAACATCATCGGGGTTAGGCTGATGGTCAGGACCCAGATACGACCTCCAGACAAACTGCATAATTAAAATACTTAATGAGAAAAATTGCAGTGTGTTAACTTAATAGCCAAATTTATAGTAATGTAAGAATAATTTACATCTTTCAACCCAATATGGTCTAAAAGACTGTGGTACACGAATATTGCGTTTCTGGGACATCGCTGGTAAGTCATTCCCATAACTGACCACCTAAAAAAAGTGAGATAAATAAATTAGTTACAAATAAACCTTTTATCAAAGTATACATGTTTGATCTTTTAAAATAAGCTTACTTGTTTGCATAGGGGAATGTGTATGGATTCAGGTTGACCGGAGCGAATGTTGGCATTCTTGACCAACCCCGTGCTTGAAGTAGAAAGGCGCGACCATAAAACGTAAAAATATCTTTTTTTGAATTTTTACACAAGGTACTATATAAATGGGTCAAAACAGCTAAACCCCAACTATAAGTGCCTACTTTATGAATGTTGCGTAACAACGACAAATACATAATATTTACAGTATTTTCAGTACTTTTAGGAAATACAAAATGTCCAAATAAAATTATAATATAACACTGAGTTTTAATTATTTTTTCATACTCGCTGGTTTCGTCGTCTAATGTGATACATGCATAATGTTCT